CACATGCAGGGGCATTTGTGCACAACCACCTAGGCAGTGGCGTGCGTGTGAGCCCACATGCAGGGGCATTTGTGCACGACCACCCAGGCAGAGGTGTGCGTGCAAGCCCACATGCAGGGGCACTTGTGCATAACCACCCAGGCAGAGGCGTGCGTGCAAGCCGACACGCAGGGACTGGCAGGCTGGCAGCTTTTGCTAGCTAGCTGTTGAGCCAGCACCCAGGCAATTTCTGAGATTTCTGTACAGCAGCGGCATCAAAATAATGGCCACCTGATGCACTTGAAATTGGCAAGGAAGAGTTTTGATGTGCCTGCGAGGTTGTAGAGCTGGGATGGGCGTGGCCGGAATTTTGCAGCAAGGAGCCCAGACGGACATGCTGGTTGCTAGCAGAAGTTCAGCTAGCATCCATGCAAATGTGTTGGTTCCTCTACAGCACGCTATCAGGTCCAGAGAGCGTCCAAATGCATGTAGAGTAATGAATCAGATGTGTAGCGTAGCGACGCCCAATGAGTTTGGTTCCGCTACAAGGATGGCATCAAGATAATGTCTACCTGACGTGAACGAAAATGGCGAGAAAGAGCTTTGATATGCCTCTGAGGAGGTCAAATGGAAGATGACTACCGAACCTGTCTCCCGGTCATTATAGCTGTATTTTACTATTTTTGGTTTTCGGGTTTAAGTCTAGATATGGCGATAATGACTGGGCGTTCTATTCGGGTGAAGAAGGCAGGCTGTGGCCCTAGCTTGCTGCAGCAGTTGGAGAGGGAAGGGAGAGGTGCAGGTGAGGCGGGTGGTGATGTGTTCCCAAAACTGGGGATCCATGGTAAATGCCACTTACGGTACGGAAGATAAGGAGAGAGGGAGTTTGACTGTGTATGCTCTGTCTCTTATACACATCTAGATGTGTATAAGAGACAGGAGAGAGAGAGAGAGAGAGAGAGTATCCACTTACCCAATCACCCACCCACCCACCCACTTACTCACTCACTCACTCCAGTCACAACCCTCGATCCACTCTCCACTCACTCCACTCACTCCACTCACGCCACTCACTCCACTCACCCACTGCCTCTACTCACTCGACTCACCCACTTACTCCACTCCCTCCACTTACTCACTCTCGCACAGACTCGCTCCACTCACACAACTCCACTCCACTCACTCACTCACTCACTCACTCACTCACTCACTCACTCACTCGGTTGCCTGTGCAGTCACTAACTTCTCCCCTCACTCAGTCAGTCAGTCACTCGCTCATTCCGCTCGCTCCACTCTTTCACTTACTCACTCACTTACTTATTCCCTCACTCGGTTGCTTGTGCCGTCACTCACCTCTCCACTCACTCACCCACTCATTCCACACACTCCACACTCCACTCTTTCACTCATTCACTCACTCACTCATTCACTCTCTCAGTCACTCACTCACTCACTCAGTCGCTCACTCACTCACTCACTCACTCACTCACTCACTCACTCACTCACTCACTCACTCACTCACTCACTCACTTGGTTGCCTGTGCAGTCACTCAGTTCTCCACTCGCTGAGGACTTGGCTGCTTACATTTGCCTGCTCTTGCTTGGACTCACTTCCACTAGCTTGCTCTAACTTCCACTCGCACACACTGGCTCACTCGTTAGCTAGGAATTGCACACACCCTCTTGCTCATCAATTTTCTCAGTATGTGATTGATCCAACTTTAGGCCTATGTATGTCCCCTGCCTTATGCTATGTGCATGCTACCCTGCAGGTTTGAATACTGTGCCATACTATGCAAACATATACCTTCATTTCGGAACCCCCCCCCCCCTTTGCGATACAGGATCGGTGATCAACAGCGCATGCGAAAAAAAGTTTAAAAAAACTGCAACGTGTATATATGTTACTATATTGTCTTTTTGAACGGGCTTAGGCCCTAAGGTTATTTTACCCTTCTGGTGGCATCATCTTGATCCGAACTCATGATCTGTCTATCAAGAGAGCTGCATGTGTGTNTTAGGCCCTAAGGTTATTTTACCCTTCTGGTGGCATCATCTTGATCCGAACTCATGATCTGTCTATCAAGAGAGCTGCATGTGTGTGCCATTCAACCGAAGTCCAGTACAATTATTTTCCATAATACTAATATGTATAATATTTGTCTATGTATATTATCCTTTTTTTTTTTTGGTTGTTATCCTGGTTGGTTCGGACATCTGTTTTTGAACGAGTGTGCAAAAAAACTGCACTGTGCATATTGTGCTTTTCAACAGGGTTATCCCCCTACCTTCTTCACCCGAATAGAATGCCCGGTCATGATAACTGTATTTGGTGCAACTTTCAGTCCAGATATGGCAATAATTACCGGGTCTTCTATTCCGCTGAAGAAGGTAGGGTTATTGTACTTTTCTGATCACATCAGGATTCAAACACATGTCATTGATCTATCGGCAAGATCTGTATGAACTGACGTTTCGGTAAGACTGACATGTTTTTTCCAAATTCACAAAAATTGGGCGTACGAACAAAACAGCATTTTTTAACGTTTTTTGTCCCCAGGATCTCGGATGTATGTTAATGGTACTTTACGTTGAGGTACATCAGATGGACAATGTGAGATGACCACTTTCTTACCCAATGAGCAATGAAAGTTTGACTTAAGTGAAGTTAAGTCGATTTTCGTGAATTTAGAAAAAAAAATGTCAGTTTTAATGAAATGTCAGTTTATGTGTGTGCTCTATGTGTGCCATTCAGGCAAAGGCAGGTATAGTATGCATATTATGATATTATTATCTTCTTCTTCTTCTTCTTCTTTTTTTTTTTTTTTTTTTTTTTTTTTCCATGCTAGTCTTCTGTGCATCGGTCCAATTTTAACAAATGTCCCGAAGGGCAAAATGCATATTATCTTGGTGGTTTCGTACATCGGTGTGTGAACGAGTCTGCCTTTTCCCCTTTTGTGATATGGTGTAGGTAATCAGGGACGAACAGCACAAGGTTTCCGTTGTCTTTCGTGACGTCAACGCCGGAACCGGCAAGGTGCACATGAGGCAGTAAATGGCACGCACGTAATTCCATTGGGAGACGAGAAATGACAGCTCCCTCCTTCCATGCTAGTCTTCCACAGTGCGAATGTAAATGGCACGCACGTAATTCCGTTGGGAGACGAGAAATGACAGCTCCACCCTTCCATGCTAGTCTTCCACAGTGCTAATGTATTGTGCTTTTACATTATATTGTTAATAATTGGGAAAAGCATAGATGACCGACCGTAAGGGTTGCAGTGTCGGCCGCGGTTTGTGTGCCATCGTCTCTGCTGCTGTGTTGCCTTTCCGCCCTCCCTTCTCTAAGTGCGTGCAACATCTGCTGAAGTTGATTCTCATTGAGAGGTTGTGAGAAGCGTACTGTTTGAGTCATGGGCGTGGTAGTGGCCATTTGACAGGGGGCAGCGATTAGGGTGCACGATGCATGCAAGGTTTTCTGGACGTTGCAGGGCATTGGCAGTGGTGGTGGATTAGGTGCGGTGTGCTATGTATGCAAGGTCGCAGTAGTGGCCACTTGACGGCTGTAGGGGCATTGGCCGTGGTGGCGGGGGAGGAGGGTAATGAGAGAGGTGATGTGGGTGTGCGTAAATCGTCTGCATGTAGAAGAAGAGGGTGGAAGACGGAGGGTGGAGGGAGATCTGCTGTGAAATGTTTACCAGTGTGATGGTGTTATGACTTTCGTAGATGGTTAATTCTTTTGCTGTGGAGGCGAGTGAAGAGCCTCCGATGAAGTGGTAGCAGACGACAAGGTCTGGGGCTTAGGGGGCAATCTGACGTGGTGCTAGTTAGGTCGGGGGTTCACGTATCTCACGTGGAGCTCTGCACGCTTGGCGTATGCGAATGAAGTGGTGCCTGTTCCACTGCAGCAGGTAAGGAAGCGGAGCGAGGAAAAACGACACGGGGCGAATCGCGAAGAGCAGACAAGAAGGCAAAGGGAGGGGAGGGGAGGGTGAAAAGAAGGTGAACCGAAGTACGGATGGGAAAGCCACTTGTTTACGAAATTGCCGAGAAACCCATTACCACTGCGTTGATCGCCATATGCACAGGAGTATGGGTCTACATTCAGAAGGCCGGGCTCGGGTACGGAGACGTCGGCATTAGTTACGAGGATGTGGTTCGGGGGAAGCAGTACTGGAGGGTGATAACCTCTACGTTCTCCCATGTTAGCTTTCTGCATCTGATCTTTAACATGAGTGCGTTATGGAGTGTGGGTGTTGTCGAGCAGTTGGGTCACGCTGGAATGGGAAAGATGTATTACCTGAAGAACACGCTGCTGCTTGTTATCTTGTCGCTAGCGCTTGTCCTCGTGTTCTACCACTTTTTGATTCATCGCCTGAAATTGGAACGGTACTGGAGGGTTACCGCCGTAGGGTATTCCTGCGTCATTTTTGGCTGGATGACTATCCTCTCGCAGAAGCAGGCCGGGTCGAAGATTCAAGTCCTTGGCTTCCTATCTCTGCCTGCCAGTCTTGCCCCCTTCGAGTCCCTCATTTTCACCTACATCATTGCGCCCCAAGCTAGTTTCTTGGGACATCTCTCAGGCATCATAGTCGGCTATTTGATATCTTGGGGGGGGTTTGCAGGAATTAGCAGCTATTGGGCGATAACGTACACATCGTGGCTGCTCATCGCGCTCGTAGTTAGCGTCGAGAGGACGACTTCATACCATATACCGTTCTTGCGTATTGGCTCGTCAGAGGAATTGCCCGATCTTCCAACTGTGCGTTTACTCTCAGATGAGGAAAGCCCACAGCCGAGAAGACCCCCCCCTTTGTCCCTTGCCTCTGGCACCGATGCCGTCTGACAACCCTGTTATGTCCATTTTTCCAATTGCACGCTTGCTCCCACAGATGAAGAGAGAGGAGAGAGTCTGATCATGGGAAGGCCGTCTTCCTTTCCTCAGCTCTGGCACTGATACTGAGCGAGCATATTGTCGCTGCGTCAGTCAGCCAGCCAAGAGGAGCCGCGTCAGTTATGAGAAGGCGCCGTCTTCCTTCCTCGCCGTTGGCACAGATACCGAGCGACCATCTTGCTGGTCGCTGCATCAGACAGCCAAGAGGATGCAGTGCAATACACACATGTTAGATTTTGTATTTGCACCAACCCAGGATTTACAGCTCCTTGTTATATATATATCTATATATATTTATATATATATATATATCGTCAAATAGAACTGCCCGGTAAACCGTAGGCAGAGAGGGAGAAGAGGACAACAAACGAGGGGCTGTGACAAACTGTTTCGTCGGAGTTTCACCGACTCATCAGGAGGCT